TATCTCCCGCCTCGGCCGGGTCGATGAGCTGCCAGAGGCAAGAGTGGAGCAGGTAGTCGCGCTGCTCCTGTGCGGGAGATAGGGGGAGATAGGGGGAGATAGGGGGAGATAGGGGGAGATAGGGGGAGATAGGGGGAGATAGGGGGAGATAGGGGGAGATAGGGGGAGGTAGGGGAGATAGGGGGAGGTAGGGGGAGATAGGGGGAGACGGTGGAGCAGGTAGTCGGCTGCTCCTGTGCGGCGCGGGCGCCGCGTCGTGGGCGTGTCGTGGGCATGTCGTGGGCGTGTCGTGGGCATGTCGTGGGCGTGTCGTGGGCGTGTCGTGGCCATATCGTAGCCGTGTCGTGGGCATGTCGTGGCCACAGGAAAGGGTCGAGGAAGGGTCTAAGCAGTGTCTAGGACGGGTCTAGGAAGTGTCCAGGAGGGGGTGCTGCTCCTGCTGCCACTCGGCGTCGAGCACGCTGATGTCGACGCCGTTCTCCCGCCCCATGAAGTCCTTGAAGTGGGACCACCCCGACACCTCTCGCTCGAACTCGCGCAGCTTTGGCGCGTACAGGCTGCTGCAGAGCGGCGCCAGGTAGATGGACGCGCTCGACGGGAAGAGCGCGCCGCCCGGCTTGAGCCACTTGTCTCGGGCTGTGAGGACAGGGTCGAGTATTGCCCCGGAGAGGTGGGGAGGGGTGGGGAGAGGTGGGGAGAGGTGGGGAGAGATGGGGAGGGATGGGGAGAGGTGGGGAGAGGTGGGGAGAGGTGGGGAGAGGTGGGGAGAGGTGGGGAGAGGTGGGGAGAGGTGGGGAGAGGTGGGGAGAGGTGGGGAGAGGTGGGGAGAGATGGGGAGAGATGGGGAGATCGCGCCTGCAATGACGGGGTCTAGCATGGACTCGCGCAGCAAGAAGTAGCCCATCCACTCGGAGACAATCACGTCTACCTGCGGCCAAGAGGTGAGGCTAGGCTCCTTCTCCCTCCCCTCCCTCCCTCTCTCCCTCCCTCTCTGCTCTCTGCTCTCTTCTCTCTCTGCTCCTCCCTCTCCTCCCTCTCTGCCCTCTGCTCGCGCCCACCTGCTCCGGCAGCGTCACCTGCTCCATGTACCCCTCGAGCACCACGACCACGTCGCCGACACCGTTTGCCGCTGCGAGCCGGCGTGCGTGCTTGGCCATCGACGTCGCCTCGACAGCATACACGACGCGCGCGCCCGCCTTAGCTGCCCAGATGGCGAGGATGCCCGAGCCAGCTCCGACGTCGAGCACCGCCTTGCCCTCGAAGCAGGCGCGGTTGTTGAGGATGGCGGTGCGGTAGCCCTGGGGAGAGCAGGAGGCGGGGCTGATGGCGCGCCACGGTGTCGAGTGCGCGGGCGAGGCGGCTCTGCGTCTCGCCTCCATCCGGAGCCGGTCCTGGAGCATATCCTGCGGAACGAGGAGAGATGCGGCGGTCGAGATGCAGCGCGGTGCAAGTGAGCCGCTGCGGGGAGAGGAGAGGTGGCGGTGCGGGAAGAGGAGAGGAGGCGGTCGCCTTCTGGTGGTAGATGTACCCGTAGGAGACGAAATAGTTTGCAAAGTCGAGCGCCTTCTCGTGCTCGTTGCTCGGACCGACCCCAGCCGCGACGCTGGTGGCTGTGGCGACGCTGTCGGAGCCGAGGCTCATGGTCAGTGCCAGCCGCGAATGCTCGCACGCGAATGCTCGCACGAACGCGTCGCCGAAAGGCGCCAACTTTTTTTCCGGGCGGTTTGGTATGCTATTTGTGCGTGTGGACGCGAGATTAGCTCCGCCATTCATGGAGGCAACCGATGCGAGTCGACTGGTGTGTGTCGTCGTGGTTTCGTATCAAGAATACTCACTCACTCACACACATACAATAAATGGTGCGGGCCCAAAGGGGTGCGGGGGTATGGTCCTGACCGCCCAAGACTATACCATACCCCCAAGCAGGTCTGCCAGCAGGCGGGGGGGGGGTATAGTCTTGAGCTGGGTTGGCCGATCGTACCATACCCCGCAAAACATTGGAAACCTGGCCAGGGTCGCGCGAAAAAATAGCACCGAACAGTCAAACTAACAAGGAAGGATTTCTCTTGAAGGTTGTAAAATGCTTTTCGAACCTACGTACTAAAATTCCGTCGGCCTCGGGCTCTCGGCCTCGCTCGCGCCGCTCCGTCGCCACTTGCGCGCGCTCGTGGCGTGGGAGGCCCTCGACGCTCGAGAGACAGAGGCTCGAGCGGCCACGACCACGCACGAGCGCGGTGTCGAAACGATTAAAGCCGTACGATTAATAAAAGCGCGGGGTGGCGGCGGCGCCTCTGGGGGAGGCGGGGGCCCCCGGAGGCACCGTGCGCCGCGCCGCAGTGCGGAAACGGGGGGCCCCGGCTCCACACTAGTCTCCCCTAGCACCGACTTGATCAAGTACGGTTAAGTAGAGGGCAGATTTGGAAAGATCTCGAGGAGTACATACAGATAGACCCTCCAACCATAAGAAAACTCTAACCTGATCGGTCGTACTGACCGCCGACAGATCACTGCAGGCAGCAGACAGGCCGACGTCTGCACGCGGCCGGCCGGGCGAGAGGCTTGACACGATCCGACCCTGCGACCCTGATGCGGCTGCTCTAGCTATCAGACATGCACTGCTGACTGCTGCCACAATGTGCGACCGGTGCTGGCCCACTTGGCGGCCTTCCCGGTCAGTGGTGAGGCGCAGTTCAGAGCTGTCGATGGCGCGACGCCGCACTGGTCCCACATTGGTGACGAGACCACCACGTTTGCCGGTCCAAGAGAGAGGCACCGGCGCTGTCCTGAGAAGGTGCGTGGTCCCTCTTGACTGCCCATGCACGCGAGGCTGTTCAGTAGGCATAGCCTCGAGAGTGCCAGCAGCCGATCTGAGGCAATTTGTGACGCGCATTGCGTCAGAAGCGTGCACGCGCTGGAAGGACCTTCCTACTGCCGCACGATCAGGTTGTCACTGAATGCTGGATACTAAGGCCGCGAGCTATGCAGGTGGTCAATTGTGCAGCAGGGCACGGTCAGCAGCGCCGACAGAATGTCGCAAGGGCCAAGGCGTGAGCATGGCCGCAAGAGTACGCCGAATTCCCATGAAACAAGTGAAAAATCGCGCAAAAAAAAGAATCGGCGCCTGCGGCGGGCTGCGGGACCCCATCTCCCCCCCGCATGCGCGATGCGGGGTACCCCCTAGCGCCCTAGGGCCCCCGCCCCCCCCAGAGGGCGGCGCGCTCCATGACCATATATGTCCACAGTGCACGTCGAGAAGCGAGCGGCCGGGGCCGTGCGGCCGCGCAGCGTGTCGTGCCTCGTGGCGAAGCTCGGGGAGGGTCGCGGTCCGCGGTGCACGGTGGTCGGTGTGGCGCTGGCGGCCGCCCCCCCGAGAGAGAGACAGACACATATGTGTACAAAATTAGCATAAAAGAGACCCGGGCATGTGTGGTGTGGGTCCGCGCGCTCTCTCTCTCCCGTGCATCTGCGACGCTGCGCGTGGCCGTAACATACAACCGCCCTGCTCTAGTCCCTCTTCTCCTCGCCGGCCGGCGCACCGCCGCAGCTGTACCGCAAGACGTCGCACGCCCACATGAGCAAGTTGAGCGCGACCATCAGCAGGTGCGGCGACGGCAGCTCTGCGGCGCTCGCCTTGCACGCCGACATGTCCCCGGGGCGGAGTGTGGCGGTCGTGTCTGCGCTAAAGAAGCCGAGGGGCCCGCCGCCACTCACGCCCCCGGTGACAGAGCCCTTGCACGCGGCAATCAGAGCCTCCTGCGCCGAGACGGCGGCCGGGATCCCGATCGGAAGAATGACTCCCACCAGGATGACGGCCTCCAAAATGTCGACCGTGTGGCGGAGGCGAGAGGCGCTGCGCCAGCCGCAGATGCTCTCCAGCGCTCCCTTGCAGAGCGTGAAGACGGCGAATGGCAGCAGCAGCGTCAGCGCGAGGAATATCGGGCTGACGATGGGCGACCACTGCCGAAAGACATACCAGTCCCGCAGAAAGGCAAGCCGCGCCCGCGGAGCGTCCAGCGCCCACAAGTCGGCTGAGAGGTCGAGAAGCGCGTTCGTGGTAAAGAACACGCTAAAGACACACGAGATGGCCAGCTCGACGGGCGCGATACCAGGCTTGGGCGGAGCCTGCGTCATACAGCCAGCGAGCCAGGTCTCGGCGCGGGAGCGGTGACCGAGCCAGGGTGGAGGTGGCGAGCGCGGGTGCGGGTTGCCTACGACGTCGATTTCGCCACGGCCGAGTACGGGATTTTGCACTTCACGCTTCACGGACGTTGTGTGAACACATCATGGGGGCTCCGTATCTCATCATACATGTGCATGCACATGCACATGCACATGTGCATACATGTGCCTGTGCATGCATCTCCAGTATCTCCCGAGGCACCGCGAAAGAAATCCTGCATATCTGTGAATTTGTGTGAGCTCTGAGAGAGAGAGAGATGTTTGTTTGTTTGTTTGAGCTCTGTGTCCTGATTTGCCAACAATCTACCCAGGACTCTAGATTCTACCCAGAGGGGTGGTTGAGGGGTTGAGGGTTGAGGCCCCCCCTCAACCATCTGGTTGACGGTTGAGACCCCCCCTCAACCCTTTAGTTGAGGGTTGAGGCCTCCGGGGCCTATTCACAGGCTCGAGCGTGATCACAAGATAAACTGGAAGAGCCTGCCGCCCAAAAAATCGCTTCGCCTGCGGCGCGCTCTTGCGCTCCTCGGACCTCGAGCGCAATCCATAAGTAGGAGACGCTCACTGTCGCCATTCAGGCGCCTGATCTCTCAGCAAAGCGATGGCCTACTCGAGTACCTGGTACGAGTTCAGATGCGCGCCCGGCAGAAGACGCGTGTGATGCCGCATGCAGTGGAATGCGCACAGAGAACGGACGGCAAGAGAAGGCAAGGGAAGGAAGAGAAACGGCTGGTGAAGCTCAGCTCACGGTGTAGCATTGCGTAAGCAACCGCGGTCACTAACCATCCACGGCAAGAGTCACGTTGAATGCTGCCGCATAAAGCAACAGAGTCGCGCTTGGCGCGATGGTCTTGTCGCGGTTCACGACTTGACGTTGCACACGGTCATAGACGCAGGATCTATTTGGCGAGTCTCAAGCAGCGAAAGTAGGCGCGAGAAATCAATGTCGATCCTGGGGTCACAATTTTGGTGCACTTGGAGCACTTGGAGTGCAGTCATCAACCGCACATCCAGGGCCGGGGAGCTAAGAAGCGCACCCAGCGGGCCGGATGATTGGCATCGGGTTACGGGCTAGAGAGCCCTAGCCCCGGGGGTGCGCGTTCGCAGGGCAAGGGCCTTAAAGTAAACACGGGTCTCCGAGGGTTAGCTCCGCGCTCCAGGTTTCCCCTAGCAGCAGAACGCCCCCTCTACTCGGAGCTAGTAAACACTCGACACGGACTCGACACGGACTCGACGCCCGCCCACACCCGGCGCCTCACCACTCCGGACCCTTCTTCGTGGTCTCCCAACTTTCACTTCGGGACGTCTTCCCCCACCTCTCGGTCCTTCCTTCTGGTCGCATCCCGATAGTTGTGTGACGGGCGCGGGGCCCGACCTCCCCTCCTAGCCTTTTTCAGCCGCGGCTCCGCCCCCATCTCGTCTCCTCTGTTGGTGCTGGTTTCGTTTTCTGGTACATCACGACGACTTGCTTGGGTCTCATGTAGCTCGACGGCTCTTCGACGGCTCTTTCTGGTTGGATCAGACAGTGCTATCAGTCAAATCAAAATATCGCCAAATACCGGTCTCATACCGGTAAAGATCGAGCACTGCGTGGCCGGCGCGGTCTGGTTCACGTGCAATGAGGGTAAACGCCATCAAAATCGCGAACATGGGCCGACATGCCTCCGACATTTCTGAACCACTCCGGGATGGGCAAGCCCATTATTTCGAGTTGCGTTTCCCTTTCGCCTGCGGGTGAAGGAAAGCAGTGGTGGTGTGATCTACCTATCTCAGAGTGTAGGGGGGGGGGGGGCGATAGGGCGCAAAGTGCCATGGATGGTGAGTGGTATTCGAGTAGGCGCCGCCGCCGCCGCCCGGCGCCAGCGTGCGTATTCGTAGCGCGCTCTCCATCAATCATACGAGTAACTGTGTATAACTAGTTCGTCCGTCCGTCCCTAACGAACGCGCCCGCACTGTCTCTCTCTCACACACCCTCACTGCCGTCTTTTTGTTCCTTGTTTAGAGACATTAGAGACCTGCCCCGGGTGCTGTGGTCCGTCGTCCAGGAAGTAAAACATCAAGGAATTCCATGGAACATAATGAACACAGCTATGACGTATGACTGTAAGCCGCGGGTGGGGTGCAATGAACACGGGGACCGCAGCGGCTGGGGCTAATCTACAGAGTACAGGGCACAGAGTAATGGACACAGAGTCACAAAAGGCGGACAGGACAATGGACACAAAATCAGAAGACGGAGCTAGCTAAAAGTTGGAAAGCTTGCCCTCGAGCAGCTCGAACCACGCTGGCGCATCGAAGCTGGTCGCGAGCCACACGTTGCTGTCGGTGGATGCTTCGTACGTCGTCACGGCCGTGCTTAGGTCCACCATCGGACTGATCTGCTCAAAGTGGATTTTCGTGTGCGGGTCCTTCTGCTCGTCGCCACGCCAGATGTATGTGGCTGAGACAACATCAAAATCAAGCGTCGCAACGATGCATTCGTCGTGACTGCAGACCATCTGGCCAAGCATGTTGGGTGGGTGTTCGCACCAGTTCTCATCATGGGTAGACACCTTCTCCAAGAGCTTCTTGATTCCCTGCTTCTCGGCCTTGCCCTGGTCTGTGTCCTTGTAAATGCCTGTCTGGCCACTGAAAAGGATGCTCTGAAGACCATCACGGTCGCAGGAAGCGGTCTCAAGGGAGAAGATTCGCAGTGGCACCTTGTTCACGGCTTTCAGCTTGTCCACCCACAAAGCACGTGCCGCGGCCTCGTCAGAAACGACGTTCGTCTCGGTGAGGTCAGCGGGATTCGACGAGTCGTTCACGTCGTGAACGGGACCGTTTGCGTTTTCAATTGTTTGCGGGTCCGTCTGCTCGAGCTGCTCATTGCCGAACAAGCCACCCATGAAAACGATCTCCTTGATGCATTTCAACGTGTCTGACCCCTTGTCTCCCAGGAGACGGGTTGCCACGGCTGACTCGGGGCTGATCACCAGCAGAGTGTAGGATTCGTCCTCCTCACACTTCCAGAAATCGTCGTTCTGTTCGTTGTACGGCATGAACTTTTCCTCCGTCTCGTCCCATGGCAAGCGGGCCATGTTTACAATCTTCCCGTGCATCGTCTTGCGGTAACCGACCAACCAGGAGGGGTCAGGCTGGCAAGGCTCCTTCAGGCCGCCTGGCGCCGTGTAGCAAGTGCCGTCGGGCGGGCCCTGATGCACCTCGGTGAGATCTCCGAGCCATGAAGTCAGAAATCTGGAAAAGTCGCCCGTAAAGCTAGAGGGCATCATGCCCTGGACAGTCAAGGCCTTCTGTGGGGTGCAGCCCGCAGCGTTGAGAACCGAGAACGCACCCATGTCGTCGAAGCCCATGTCCGTCACGACGCGGACATTGGGGCCGAGGGCACAGGTAGAGGTGGAGGGCGAGAAACCGTCCTTCATGAACACGGTGTAGCCCTCCTGCTGGGCGAATTTATCCGGGACGCAACTCGTCCTCTTCCAGCACTTGCTAGGAGCGGCTGCCGTTGCAGGCTGAAACGTCACGCACTGGCAGGAAAAGTCCGCTTCGCACCGGTCCTTGCAGTCCTGCGCGGTTTCGTACTTGATCGCGGACGTGTCTGAATCCAGCTCGTAGCTCCCAGCTCCGTCGTAGGTGTTGTACGAAGGGTACGCCGTCCAGCTCCCGCGCGACAGAACGGGCGCGGCTCCTGCTTCAGCGGCCAGAATGGCCAGGATCATCGTCCGGAGGTTCATCATCGTTTCTGCGGGAGGGCCGAAGCGGGGTGTGAGCCGGAGCAGGCATGAGCAGGTGTGGCTGTGGGGTGGGCCAGTCAGACGCAGGCGGGCAGGCGGCAAGTGTGAGAGCGGTCGCGTGTGAGAGCAACGTGACAGGCAGCTGTCGCAGGCGTTGGCGGCGTGTCCGGCTAAGCGCGGAGTAGCAAGCGGGTGACCGTGGTGGGGAGAGGCGACAGATGGTTCGGGCGTGGCGTGCGATGCCGACCTGATGGTAAGGCCGAATGCTGCTGCTTGCAATCCGCGCTTGCAATCCGCGCGGGCTATCCTGGACAAGTCCCTTTTTCTGTCCTGGCAAAGTCCGCGGTAGAGCTAGCTCTATCCTTTTCGCCTTTCATCACTGAGCACTTGAGCACTGGATAGGGTCGATTCCGCATGGTACGGGACCCCTCGATCGTCTCGCCCTCCCTCAAGAACTGGTGTGTTCAATCACTCACAATTCAGGGTCACGTCCGGATACACACACGTCTCCAGGGCCCGCGCTGCCGCTAGTAGCCGTTGGAGATGTCGCGGCCAAAGATGATCGACTTGAACCAGTACATTGGGATGAGCATCATATTCCTGTACGAGAGCTGCTTCAGCAGGTAGCCGCCGCGCCACGGCGTGCGGTGGCTTCTGCCGGCCGCGTCGCCGTCGCCGCCCCGCCCTGCGATGTTTGAGATTGAGTGAGACTCAGTCTGTCGTTGAGAGACCGACGGTCTACCCCCGGTGTACTGTGGATTGGGAGGGAGCTTTGTGGCTCGTGAGAGCGCGGCCGCGCTCGCGGTCGCCCGGTCGCGCACGCAAATAAATAAATAAATAAAACGGACACCTCTACCAGGAGATGGGTAAAAAGGAACAGGTCCCCGCCCGTGCGATCTTTGTGCAGGGGGTTCTTTGTGGGTGCGTGGTCGGCGACTAGAGCCGTAGCCGGGGGTCGTCCATCCGTGATCCGACACGGGGGGGACCGTGGGACTATATCACTAGCGCCGTCTGAGCGTCTTTTCAGACTTCACCACGGGCTCACGCGAGGTATTATACACCACAACGTCGAGTTGTCAGTTGACTGTTGTGGCGTGTGGCGGCCACGACAACCTTCTTAGACTGAGACTTGTCTTAGACTGAGACAGCTCACGCTCCAGCCTCCACTGGCCGCGCTTGGGCGCGCGCAGGCCACAGCCCACACAAGACTGCCAGCGCGCTTCTCTACCCCTTCTGGCGGCATGCCATGCTAGCTCTGGGCCGTCGAGGCCACACGATCACACTGGCCCGCAAAAGTATGACGGACGGCCGGGACGCTGCCACGCCCTTCATCTCGCGTCCTGCTTCTCCTCCTCTGCCACCTTCTCAAGTCGAGGAGGGTCGTCCGCTTCCGCCGACTTGAGGTTGGGCATCGCCTCCGCCTCCGCCATCCTGTGCCGGTGGCGGTGAAGCGTGAGCACGGGCGCTACCCCACCTCCCCCTTGGCGGGCCACTATACGCGCACCCTTCCTGGAACGACTCGGCAACCTCCTTGAGGCCTGCGGACTGCTTGCCGAGATCCTTTGCGAGCCCGGCTAGGCGCTCAGGCCCGAAGAGGAAGAGCCCGGCGACCCCTATCACTCCCAGCTCGGGCCACCCCAGACCAAAGAGGCCCATCGCCGGCGCCGGGCTGCGCGAAGGCTGGAGTGCAGCGGCCGGAGGCGCGCCGAGCGGCCGCGCGGAGGCGCAGGAGCGCGGCAGTGCGGGAGACAGCGTGAAGGCGCTGGCCAGCGTGGCGAGGGAGAGAGTGACGACGAAGCGCATCACCAGATGGCTATGTCGATGGCTAATCCGAGCTGCCGCGGGGGGAAAAAGAATTTCAGCACCCACATTTAGATACGCCCGTTTTCTTTGGCCGCCCTCGCTCGCTCGGAGTGGAACGAGCACACCTGCTGCCGGGTCGTCGCGGCTTCTCGCCTGGCATGTTGGCCCTGGGGTTCGCTGCGGCAGCCGCCACCTCGGGCTCGCCGCCCAACCGCCGGAGTGGCGGGCCAGATCTGCAGAAGCTTTCCACGGCGCGAGAGCGCCTCTTCGAGGCGGAGCTGGAGCTACAAGGCGCTCTCGCGCGAGAGGCGTCGAGGCCGGGTCCGCGGCCGGTGTCCAAGGCGCTGGACCGGCTCCAGTCGGTGCTCGTTGCGGCACTCGCCAGTCCCGACGAGGACGGCCTCTGCCGCCTCCACCACGCAGTCTTGGAGCAGGACGAGGACCGGGTAAAGTGCTTGGTCGGCGCGGGCGCCCAGACAGAGGTGGCGGCGGGCGAGGCGGGCGTGCTGCCGCTGCACCTCGCGGTCCTCGCCGGCGACGGCTCGCCCGGCTGCATGCGCGAACTGCTCGCGGGCGGCGCCAAGGTGGCCCTGACCCTTACCCTAACCCTGAGCCTTACCCTGACCCTGGACCCTAACCCTGACCCTGACCCTTACCCTAACCCTTACCCGTACCTTGACCCTGGACCCTAACCCTGACCCTGACCCTTACCCTAACCCTTACCCTAACCCTTACCCTAACCCTGACCCTTACCTTGACCCTGGACCCTAACCCTAACCCTGACCCTACCCCTACCCCTACCCCTACCCCTAACCCTGACCCTACCCCTGACCCTACCCCTACCCCTACCCCTACCCCTACCCCTACCCCTAACAAGGTGGACGCGCCCGACACGAACGGCGTCACCGCGCTGCATGCCGCCTGCGGACTCAACCAGCCGCAGCTCACCTCGCTGCTGCTCGACGCCGGCGCCACGCCCGAGGCGCGAGGAGCGCACGGTGTCCCGCCGCTCCTTCAGTGCGAATTCGCAGCTAATGAGCACTTAATTAGGCGCGAGGAGCGCACGGTGTCCCGCCGCTCCTTCAGTGCGAATTAGCAGCTAATGAGCACTTAATTAGGCGCGAGGAGCGCACGGTGTCCCGCCGCTCCAGCTCGCCGGCTGGGCAAACGCGGCCGAGGCTGCGGCGGCCATGCTCTCGCACGGTGCCTCTCTCCCGCGTTGCGACGCGGCTCCGGCCGGACGTGTCCAGACAGGGCGGCGCTCCTCGCCACCGCGCGGCTCGTGTGTCGGCTAGGCGCCTCCCCCGACGCGCGTGACGAGCGGCTCCGCACCGCATGCCATGCCGCGGCCGCGCGGGACGCTTCCGAGGCGATCGAGGTGCTCCTCTCGTGCGGGTCTCTCTCTCTCTCTCTCCCTCTCTCTCCCTCTCTCTCTCCCTCTCTCCCTCTCTTTCTCTCTCTCTCTCTCTCTCTCTCTCTCTCTTTCCCTCTCTCTCTCCCTCTCTCCCTCTCTTTCCCCCTCTCTCTCCCTATCTCCATCGCTCCTCTCGACTATCTCACTCTATCTACAGACCTCTCTCTCTATACTGTCATGTACCATACACTCGGCCGACTACTGCTTCTGCGTAAAGGTATCCTCCTGTACGGTACC